GTTTGGGGGTGGGAGGCGTGGTTTCTGGAGAGTCCTGATTTTACTCTAACACAGTCCTGCCTGGAAGCAAGGAGAGCAGAGCTGCTTGCACTTACAGCCGACTTCCTGTGGGTCAGGCACTGCACTATGCTCTTTAATCCATTCATTCAGCCTTCACAGTGACCCTATGCAATAGCTATGATTACTATCCCATTTTGTAGATGAGGAAACTGAGGCAGAGAGAAGTTAAGTAATTTCCTATGGTCACACAGCTAGTAAGTGGTGGAGCCAGGATTTAACCCAGGCAGCCTGTTAAAGTCCATATTCTTATTCATTATTTCAATAATAATAATGGTTGATCAGAATTATATCATTAGGTCTAAGAAGTAAATACCATTACCTCAAATTCAAGATGAGGAAATGGAGGCTTGGAGAGTATAAGTAACTTATTCCAAGTTATATGGTTCCACAGCTGTAGACTGGAGAGTCGAACGCAGTCCTGTCTGCCTTTGGGACTTGCCCTTCTCTGGGATCAGATTTGCCTCAACAGGGCCCAACCAGCCACTTTCCAGATGGGACATAGCTGGCTCAGGGGGCTCTGTAGTTAAGGTGCCTGGATGAATCCCAACATCTCAATTAAAAGGGGAAACATTCAAATGAGATGCAAATGAGCAAAAGTGAGGTCTTCTTCCAACTGTAGGGCTGGGGCCCGGGTAGGGTGGGAGCTACTCAGGGGAATGTCTGTTGTAAACTAACACACACCAGCTGGGTGGGCACCACCCCTGCAGCTGGAGCTGGGCCTGATGCTCCTTTCTCCCTTGTAGGGAAGATCAGGCAGGATGCCATCTGCTACCACCTCCCACCTACCCCAGGGCCCTCAGGAGGCCAGCTGCTATCACCCCCGTGCCCGCCCTCCTGGGGAAGAAGGCAGCGAGCTGAGCCCAGCTATGTGCCTGAGCCACCTAGCAGCGGGGGTGATCTGGGCAGGGCTGCTGGGGCTAAAGTGCCCTGCTGAAGGAGGGAGCACATTAAACATTAGCCACAATGGCCCCCCACAGAGTGAGTTAGCCTCCCACTGGACTCAGGGCTGAGCAGCCAGGGGGGGCATTTCGTTCCAGGTGGGTGACCAAGCTACCGCAGCCTGGGACAAGTCTCTGAGACTAGTGCAGATGGCAGCTTCCTCTCCTGACCCCAACGGGCTCTTTCTTACCTCAAAAAAACCCCAAACCTTGCCAGCCTGCAGGTCCTTGACTGGAGGTAAGGTCCAAGGAGTGTTCTCTTGCTCTCAATACACACTCGTAAACTGGACTGTGGGTTCCCCAAGGTCAAGGCTGAGCAGCGTGAGTTCCATAACCCCGTGGCCCCTGGCACTGAGCTCTGTCGTCAACATTTGGATGCCTTGAGATGGAAAGTGACTTGCTCAAGGTCACAGGCCTAGCGGGGACTAGGACCCCAGTCCCTGGATTCCCTGTCCACTGTGAAACCTCAAAGTGGGCAGAGCTTTGGTCTCCCAGCCCAAGGCAGAGGCCCTGGACCTGAGCAGGGGGCCCACATCTGGCGTCAGCACCTTGGCTCCAGTGCCCACTGGGCTCTCTCACTGGTTAGCCCAGGCTGGGCGAGCCTGGTCCTTTGCTTTGAGTTCAGGAGCAAGGTATGACCTACCCTGGGGCCCCAGAGCAGGTTTCCAACATAGGGCCCCTGAGGGAGGAGAGAGGTGTGTGTGCGTATGTATGTGTGTGTGTGAACACTCATTGCTGTTCATCTGAAGGCATCAGCCTGGTGTGTGTGAATGCTCATTGTTGTCCAACTGAAAGTGTCAGCCTGGTGTGTGTGTGTGTGTGTGTGTGTGTGTGTGAATGCTCATTGTTGTCCATCCGAAAGTGTCAGCCTGGTGTGTGTCTGTGTGTGTGTGAATGCTCATTGTTGTCCATCTGAAAGTGTCAGCCTGGTGTGTGTGTGTGTGTGTGTGTGTGAATGCTCACTGTTGTCCATCTGAAGGTGTCAGCCTGGTGTGCGTGTGTGTCTGCGCGCGCGTGTGTGCTGTGTACAGGGTGACGGCTCGCATGCACTGAGTATGATAGATGTTTATGTGTCCCCTGTACCAGTGCCTCCCAGTTGCTCTTTGCCTGATTTGCTCAGTTTGTGGCCCAAGTTTTGCCTGCTTCGCTGAACAGTAAGGAAACCAGGGTCACTGTCCTGAGGCTGTCAGAAAGTTAAATGTATTCAGTAAAGACCCCTGCCCTTTGTTCTGAAAGCCTGCATGCGTTAACTGAATTTTACTTAATAAAACCAAAACCAAACCCGTTGCTGTTGAGTTGATTCTGACTCATAGCGACCCTATAGGACAGAGTGGAACTGCCCCATAGGGTTTCCAAGGAGCGGCTAGAGGATTCAAACCGTCGACCTTTTGGTTAGCAGCTGTAGCTCTTAACCACATTAGATTT